GAGGGCAAACGAATCTGGGTATTTCCTATCTAGTTCTGTCCTACTTATGGGGATCCGAAATCGCTATTGGTTCTGCTGTTAGCTGAATCAAGCAATAAAACATTAAATGGGTGTTGTCACTTGAGTGCCAGAAAGATTTGAGAATATCATCTAAGTATGCAGAACCACACAAAGTTCTGCGCTCAAGCTTTTTATAGGAATTCTGTATGCGGACCCATTAGTTTAACGTTTTATTCCCTAGTTCAGTTTTTCCTGGTAAACACGCTTAAAAGGATGATTTTTTGTGACTGTAATCCATCAAGGATATTCTCATCAAACTGAATCCAACTCGAATCTTTTCTGGGCAATCAATTACTAACCAATCCATCGTCACGGATCGATAATCTTGTGATCATACTCCCTTATGTGAACATTGGCATGCGAATCGTCATGTGTTCAACCTATTTCATCCCAATTCACAAAAATAGACCAGTCAAGTTTCTAACGTTTCTTGATTCATGTTGTCATTTTGTTTTCCCACTGGCAGGAAATTTTGACTTAAGCAGATACGAAATCAGAGGTTCTTGTGGATGACAAGAGAAGGAAATTGGTTTTTACTCTGCGTGTTTGTTTTAAATAAACCATCCTCGCTCAGCGAAGTTGAACGCGTGTGTTGGCAGAATCCGGCCAGGCGCAGTTGTTAACCACACGGGTATTGACGTTCTACTCCAGTGATTTTAGGATGCAGTGTTGGACGCTTCGTCGTAATTCCCGCGGGCATTTCAACAAGCCTTTTGCCAGTTTTAATTAAAGCAAAAAGATTGCACTTGGAGCGCCCTGATTTTACCCAGGGAGTACTTGTGTTAACCTCTTGAGCACACTAAAGTTTTCTCGGGGTTTTTGGCTGGATTGGGTAAGCGGCTAAGCATTCCTGAAACACAGGACAAATTTACTGCCTTTTAAGTGATTTCGTCCCTATTCTGTGCACACAAATGACGCTTACTCATCATTGGGCGAGTTTTATCGCAATTCGTTATCGCGAATAGCTAGCGTTTTGCGTCTGATGCACTTCACACAGGTTCAGCTTTAGCCAATGACAGAATGTAGGCAGATACTAATGAATCCATTATTTGCGTGATAGAATGAACTAGCTCACTAGTTCAATATCCAAATGTTTTAAGTATTTGTCTTTTTTTACATGTGCTTCTTTTTATTCTACTTAAGCCTTTGACGCTCATCAACTAACGGATATATCTGCCAAATTTTAATCAATGGTTAGGAATTTGCTAAACAATGAATTGCACAACCACCCAAAAGTCTAGACACAATAAGCCAGTCAAGTTAATTTTCCGTCTAATTTGATTGGCTGTAGGCCATCATAGGTTGGATATTAAATTACTTTAAAAAGTAAAATATGTAAAATAAGCAATGCTAACTCCACTAAAGTATTAACATCAAGGTAGAAATCGAATCTAATTTCGACAGTAGAAGGATTTGTAGAGATTTGGTCTTTATTGATTTTACAAACTCGATTAACGATGATTTCAATTTTACTCGATCGATAAGTGCTTCTTGCATTTAAAATGTATAGGAAGATGCAATAGTTATTTCATAATATTTTGGATACAGTTGAGAATAGAATATCAGAAATAACCAGGACATGCGAATAGGCGCATGGAAATAATTTGAAGATAAATTGGCCTTAATAAATGTCTAAGGAACTTGAGTGTAAATGCTGGCAGCAAGGTAAAACGTGTTTAAAAAAGAGCCAAAATTTTCAATTCATAACTTGTTTCTTCTGACTACAATTATTTTTGACGCTGAAATGCTGCGTAATAAGTTGTAATACGCAAAGCAAAAGCTAGCAGACTGTGAGTGGGATGTGCTGTTCTAGGGCTATTTTCAATTACCCGGCTAATTAAATCTTTTTCTTTCTTGATAAACCTAATTATCACTGCAGCAGACCAGGAAACAATTTTGTCCGCTATTAACATTCCTTCACCTTGCATTCTCTGGGTGTGCAGCGTAAAAGCTTTCGTAATTTGAAGTTACACGAATTTTACACTTGGTTAAATATGCGAGCACACTGTTGGAGTTAAGACGATCGTTTGCTAGGAACCCAGGTTATTTTTGGCAGAGACGGTGGTTTTCGGCTGACGTGACTGTCTGAGAATTTACTGCCACCATTGGTCCACGTTAAACCCAAACGATCTCCACCAAACGTTTGGTTAGGGTTTGGGTTTATAACAGTTGCCTTAATTATTGAATTGGCATAATTTAAACAAAGCAAGGTCCCTTCAAGAAATACACACATTTCCTTAGTAAACGTTTAAATTATAAACGTATTTGGGCTACCTTTAGAACATATTACTTAAATACGCGGATAGTAGCGTGCAAGCAGCAAACTACTCTGGTTGTTCAAACTAAACTTTATCTGGAATGATTGAAATCCAATGAATACAAGTTCGTGTCCTTTCCAAACAATTCGTCAGTGCTCATTTTATAGTTGGATTGTTGCCAATGGCAACCATCGTAAGCACGTGCTCTCAGCATGATGAATCAATATAAACCAACTCGAAAGCTAACTTGCATCAAAAATAGATTAGGCTGTCAATTTGAGGGGATCAAAATTGTGGTGCAGTATGAACCGATTCCAAACAACCAATGCAGGTGTTTATTGCCAGCAAGAATTGCGGCTTGATTAGGCATGATTCAACGAAGAGCATTCAGAATCGGCAAATCGGAAAGAATTTACGTCACGCCAAGGTAAAACAATGTCTTGGGGAAGATTGCTCTTATAGACCATCATTTGATCAAAATTTAAAATCGATTTTGTAGGATCAGACTTCCGTTAAAGATGACGGCGATCAACATTCGTACGTTTTTCACTTGTCCGTAAGCGGAAAAATCCCCAAAGTATCGCAATAGATCACTATCCGTAACACGTAATTTTCAGCCCTAACTGTGACTGCATATATGCTTGCAGATATACGCTATAGGTTAGAACCACGAATTTTATGACAAATTTAATTGTAATTTTTAATCGTATTTTTGGAAAGACTTGTCTTTTAAATTTTTGCAATTTGGAGTCAAAAGACTACTACTTAATTTGAGCAAAAAGTAATCGAAATGTGTGTGTTTTTGACTAGAATTAAAAAGCACTTTGAAAGCAATTGCTCAACAGCGGTACTAGGGGGAGATTGTCAATTGTCGAGCCAGTTTTCTTTTTTTACTTTTCAACTAGCAAAAAGCCACCTCATAGAGTGCAACACGGAAATCGTAAACCGTCGTTTCACTTTAAAATTTAATAAATCTTCGGCTTTATTGCTATCGCGGCAATCAAATGCAGTCTGGTTGATTTCTTAACGTCCTCAAAATTTAATTACAGTTATCTTAGGCTAGACATCAACAGAGTAGAATTTTAAGGCTTCAGCCACTATGTTCTGGCAGTTGCCAGTCATGTTTGAGGCTTCATTTTGCCTCGAGTTACCAAAATAGTTGAATAATTTACTGGTTTAAAGCGAGAAGGTGGTTGCACGCGAAAAGCTTTGCACTATTTATGAGGTTCTTGAAGGTGAGAAGTTTAACAGACGAAAATTGCAAATTCAAACGAGCCACGGCGAGAAAGTCTCCAGGGAAACGCGTTTTGTTTAAATATGCATTAAGAGGCTGTTTTGTTGAGACAATGCAAGTTAGCATCAAATTCTTGTGTTCAAATCGCCTGTTAGCAAAACAGCCAAATTAAGGTACATTTACACAATTCGAGTTGAACCAATGACAGATCAAAAAGTGTTTTAATTGGCTCCATGTTAACAAGTGAATTTTCGCACGATTTTATGGCCTAACGAACAAATCTGAAACCAGTCATGTCTAAGCCAATCGCCCTGCAGTATTAGCGTACACTAATTCGCAAAATCCATCACCATTACAGAGTAAAAAGCTTTACAGACGTCAGTGTCCTGTGTTTAAGCAGACTAGTTTTAAATTTATTGATAAAATTAAACAAAACCAAGTGCATAGTTAACTGTTTAAGGGAATGACTAATCACCAAGAATTTTCTATTTCTTAAATTAATGTTAACTTGTTCTACTGGTTTGGCTTGTTGTTTAATGAAATGATTTCTAAGATCTGCAATCTGATCCAAGCCAAACACTAGCATTTAACACCTAATTGTGTTTTCACACTTGTCCATTATTTGTGAAATACGCAGACTGTCAAAAATTTGATAAATTCATGTTAAAAAATACGATGGATTCAAGCAACACCTAGACCCTGGTTGCTTCTGCACTGATTGTCTTAACTGTGTACTATCATTTACACAATACCAGCTTCAGATATCTTTTTAATTGGCTAAGCTCATTGATTGTTTTTTAGTCCATTTCATTACCTTACTCATTTCATTTTAAAGACGAGAACCATTTGAAATTCCGCCAATGGAATGATTCCACGGCTTTGGTTTGCATTTTCTGCTTAATCACGAAGCACTGCAAATTCCATTCACACAATCTGTTGCTGCTTCTTTGTTTGCTTCTTCAATGCATGGGAAGGTGTATTTTCGCATCATTTAAATTCTGACCATGTTACTTCACCACCTTAATTCAAATTCATAACGTGGGCCTTTACGGTAATACCTTCACTTATCAGTTAAAGGAAGATGCAAATTGGGTTGTTAGAAGTGTTTCTACTTGCTCGTTCAAAAAGATATCGGCACTTTCCTGTTCTTAGTATCAGTTGTTCGATAGTCTGTTGAACGTAACCCCGCTTATTGACGGGAAAATCCACGATATTATTGAAGGTTTATGATGGTTGAAATTTGATTTCTGCGAACCCGCCACCGCCCGCCCTCCCCACGAGGCAGATCAGGTTCGTGCGCTGGTGCACGTGACGGCCAGGGAAGGTGAACACCGTTCAGGAGTGCCACGTGTGCGCGCGTGCCTCTTTTGGGAGCTGTGCTCACCGCCTGTCCGTCTCACGCTCTGCAGCTCCAGTGCTTCTGTGGCGGTGCGCGCACGTCCTGGCCAATGGCCGCGCACCGGGGCGAATTCGCCCAGCTGCGTGATGAGGCTACCGCTTCTGCTGCTGCTGCTGCTGCTGCTGCTCAAACGGACGTTCTGCGGCTGGTTGAGCGTGGGCACGTCGTGTGGTTGCGTGAGTCTCCTCTCTTCCCTGGTCACACAACTTCTTTTCTGCGTTTCCAGAGCAACTGCCTCCACCGCGGCCTCTCGACTTGGTAATTGGGCCTTTGTGTACCCTTTAAAGAATCATCTTATTAATTACTTAGGTTTTTAAGTCGTGTGAATGTTGTGTTGTACGAGCTTTTGCATTGGCCAGCAATTCTCCATTCAAATTTTTTCCCTTTTAAGTCACAACACCTCCAAATCATAGCTGCTTGTTGAGTGATTATCAATTTCGTTTTCTAAAAATTCAAATATTGCGAAATGAGAAAAGGATTTTGAACTGGGGCAAATCGAGGTGTTGTGGAACAGTTTCCAAATTCTTCAAATATACAATTCATCGTCCAATGGAATCGATTTGAAGTAAAACAGCTAGAATTCTCTAGTACGCATAAAGGAACTCTTGAGCGCGGCAGCATTAATGAGAAGATATTTGTTATCACTAAATCGTCGACATTTGCAACACAATTTCATCCTTTTCCGAATGAACATCTCGGTGTTGTGATGGCTGTCGTAAACTTACCCATTTTCCTTTAGCTACTACTGTTAACCCTCGACAAATAAGTGCAAAATTTTCTTACACTGGAAGAAAATTAATGGGAAATTGTATCGAAGAAACACACATGCAGATTTGGTGACGTAAAAGTGATTTTTGCGTGTGATATCATTATTAGACTGGCTGTTATGGGGCAATTCTTGTCTGTCTACAATTCGGAAGATGGTTTATTCAGGATCGGTCAGATGATTGTTATGGTTGAATAAGTATTTGTGGCACATTATTTTTTTTCGTAAATGCTCTATTAACTGGACACAGTTTGTTTAAAACAGACGTTTTTATTTTAGCTGAGTCGTGTTTTGCGCTAGATGCCAACTTAACACGGCTCCTCATATTACCCAAAGATTTAATGTAAAGCATACACTCAGAATGGCCAACTTAGTGAATTTTGATTGGTTGAGGACAATTACCCTGTGTCTGCCCTTACTCAGCTGGTAGGTGGAGTAAGGCTGCATTAGGCAATCGTTCATCTTCCAAAACACGTTGAGCATAAACGGCACACAATGAAGCTCATTATCTGGGCGGAAAAAATGTAAGTTGTACGAGTGGATTCTTGCATGTACAACGGTGACACAGGTCACGTTAGGGCTTGCGGTGGATTACTCATGACTGGTAATGACGTCGAAATGTTGATCCCAATAACTACCAAGCAGAGGGATTCAAGGAGACAAAATTTCTGACAGTTTATCATGCATTTTCTTGACAAATACATCCTCTTGGCGCCAATCCTTATTTAAATTGAGAACTTTTCAAATTAAGGCGGGTAAATGAACTCCAATTAATTTTAACAAATACGAATAGATGGAACAAACGTAATTACCACCAATCAATGTCGTGTCTCCCTTACAAAATAGTGGTTTTCATTTTGAAAATTGGTTGTAGGATTTCGCACAAAAATCTCCCGCTGTGTCCGTCATTTTTTTTTGAATAATTGCAGTGCGGTTGCATTTGGACCATCGAACCTTGCTAATTTCAATGACGCCCAGTTATATTAGGCTAGTAAATCATATAACTTGGTTAGCAACGTACTACTTAAATAAGCTTGCAGCTGCTTAACCTCAAGAGCGTAACGGTACCTAGGAGGAGTTCTAGTAGTAATTTTTTTTATTTTTTAGTCATGCCACCATAAGCATAGTTTGTATTTAATTTGCTCAGCAATTTATTCTGGAATGTCAAACAATGATTCAGCGATGTTTCCATTTTTCGTTGTTTTAAAGTGACCTGAGTTGTCACTGCGTGGGCTAAAATGTCTCACCTTTGGTCCGCTGCGTTTCGCCTTTCGCTTAACGATTGGTCGTCACATTACTCACTAATCACCAAGCGGTAAGCTCACATTTCTTTGGGCTTTTACGATCACGTTAATTCTGAAACCTCCTCGATGTTAAAATCGAAAAGGAAGTAAGATTCAGAAAAAAAATTATTGGCATTACCGATCGCTTTTCCCGAATCGTCTAGCCTTTGTCTACTCGTAAACCTTCGTCCTGTTTTTGGAGTAAACGAGATGGAGCAAAGAGCGTGCCTGATGGCAAAGACTTACATTCGGCCAAAATTTTGCCTCCGCCTCCAACTGGCCATACTACAAACGGCTACCCTCCCCTCCGCCCTCCCCCGGTGTGTGTGTGTGTGTGTGTGCGTGTGACTAAAGCGAGTCCGGCGTTCGCAGAATGAGGAAGTGGGCATACAGCATCGGACCGCCACGTGCTGTTTCTGCAGGCAGCAGCACGTGCGCACGCACGAAGGACGCACTCACTGCGTCAAAAATCGATGAATCGCTTCGTGGGACTGCCGTGGGCAGGTGTGTCTGGCGCGCGTAGCCGGCTTGAGTGGGGTGGTCGCATATTTCATCTTTTGCGTGTGTGTGTGTGTGCACGTGGGGGTAAGCTTTTGGCAATCGTAGGAGGGGGTTGGGCGTTGTGCACTAGGCCTGCTACCACGCTCCCATCTGCCCCCCTCACGAATGCGCAGCTTGTGGCAACCATCTCCTCTTACCTTATATCGATCCCTTTAACCCCAACGTTCTCCACTTAGCGGACACCATTGAGTTGATCTCAACGAAGTCCTGTCTCTCTAGCATGTGGAAAATGCCATGCTGTTTTTTATTGAAGTATGAAAAGCTCGAAAGATCTTCATCAGCGTAGCTTGGAACGCTAACCTAACGAGTCGGTCAGACTTTCAAGCGGTTTCGGCTGTGTGGGCCTCCTCAGACGTCTACTTGCTTCCTTACCCTTCGATGAATTCTACTGGAGATATCTTTCTTCCTGTGATTGGCTAAAAAGGACAATTTTTTTAAGGTACAGCACCCCATTTCAAGGTGCGTGCTCAGCAAATTTGTTTTATCGAAGTGTAGCCAGTTGAGTAAATTTTGATTGGCTATGGCTGGTAAGCAAGCGCCTTGTGCACTAGCCTCACGTAGTTAAAATCGACGCTTTAGAGGATGCAATTACCCCTGTGAATGCGCACTCAAACCCACCCCCTAGCAAGTTACGCATGAATGCCTCCTCTGTACTCGATGACTCATCATGCCCATTGGTTGGCCGCATGTCCCATCACAGGTAGGCGGGAATTGGCGAGGCCAAACAGGCTTTGTCTGTTCCGGCTTAAAACCCGCCAGAAAGCCAAAATGACGATGGATTTTCGAGGTCACTAGGCACGAGGACAGCTTAAAATAGGACCTGAGATCCACTAAAGAAACAGCCCACTAGCCATGCGTAATAAACTTTTACCTTTTAGTTTCTATTCTAGTGGTAAAAGATTTATCTATCAACGGGTCCTACCAGTTGCGCTGTCTGAGGACGAGGAACGAAGACATTTGGGTGTAATTTGGTAAGTTGGTTTGTCAAAATTTAGAAATCTGTGATTTTCAGCACGTGAAATGGCGTTTATCCGCGTGACTTTAATTCGAACCGGAAATAAGGCACGCGGTGAATGCCAAGCCCGTTGCTCCATTCATCATTTGTGCCGCTTTTTTCTGTACTTGCTTTTTTTTAAAGAAAACTATCACACCAACAAAATACCTCGTGCTAGCGAGATCTGGTGTGTAAGGCGATCACGCGAGCATTCTAGCCAATCATGAGCGAACACGATATCAGTCGAAATCCTAAAATTCACTTCAAGTATCAATGTGCGTTCGTTAGTGGATTGGTGCCTTGTTTTACTATACATCTGATCTCCTGACGACGCAATAAACGACTGCGGCTCCGTGGTTTCTGTCTGATTTCGTTTTTAAGCGCCTCGCGCTCTGTTTTGCCAAAGCAAACATCTTTACCTTCACTTTCTAATACGCAAATGGCCTAATTGCTTGCATTGCTAATAAATAATCTCGTGTTTACTGCTAAATAATGTGCATTACTCAGAAACAACACAATCTGACAGCGAAATGTCGAGTTTCAGGCTGTAGAAAGTTGTTTCATTTGATTATCTTAGCCTCACAATCCCCCGATGGTCACATTTAAGGAAATTTGGAAAAGTTTACCAAACGCTGTATTAAAGATCTGCATAATCTGTGTCAGAAATACATGCAAAACGACGAGGGAACCATCTCAAAACGAATTTAGACTACCAGGAAAAAAATCCTTTTGGTAAGAATCGGAATGGATCCCGCTAACTTTAAGGAATGCTCCGTTTGCCTTTTTTAACTGCTGGAATCAAATTTCTGCTGGTTGAATTAATTATGCAAATTTCCTTCCGTCCATAAAATTTCCAGCATCCGTTTGTTAATGCACGACCATTTTCATACGCCACAGGCAACCAATTAAAACCCAGGCGCAAACGCAGAGGCAGAGAAAGTCGGCGATGCTAAAAATAGCAATTTAGCGTCAAGAGAACTAGTTCACCAGTTAAATGTTATTCTATATTTATCCGTTGTTTTAATTCCGATTCTCATCGAGTGCCACCTACAACCTACATGTTGTTCCCATGGAAACGCAAGTTGAACTTGTTATGCACGCATTTGATGTAGGAGTTTGCTGTTTGTTTCATTGGATAAAAACTCATGCGCTGTTAAGTGTTCTAATTCGTGTTTATTTGACAGCGGAAGTCTTGTTGTCAACTGTCATTGTTTACAAATGGATTCAACTCTTAGACAAACAATTCTGCCTCATTCCTTGGGTTAATCCCTAAGCTTGCATAAATTACGCATTGTTGAATGCAAAGCTGTTTACTAAGGTAGCAATACAATCTAATCTTCCTTGTGGCGGAGGGGTGGGGCAAAGTAGATATTTTAATACATCTTCAGATGTACTTTAATAATTGATAATTCTTCTACCAAAATAACCATAAGGCAAAAAAGTACAAAGTAGGAAGCCTTGGCTACGCATGGCGGCAAGCACCTGTCAGCTTGACAACGAAATCGGTTCCATAATTTTTAATTATTTTCCACCAAAAAGTATGAATTCTGTTCAAGTCTTTAAATAGTGAAGGTAACCCAAACCTTGAATTGAACATATAGCATATCGTTATTTCGCTGAGCGCCCCTTATGATTCGTGCTCAAGAATCATTTCAGGTCCCTTGTTTACGTGTACTTTTTATTGCCATAGCGCTTATTTTTTAAGATAACACGTGTTTATTGCAGAAATTTCTTAAGCATTTTCATTTCATTTCGAAGCAAAGCCTGCGTACTTTATCATCGGCTAAAAAGTTTTGTAGATAGTTCTTGTTTACACAAAGTAATCAAAAAACTGATGATTCTGGGTTTGCCAATCTGCTGTGAGATTGGAAATCTTGGTGACCAAGGTAAAATCAAATTAAAACAATAGAATTCATAATCAGATAGTGACAATCTCCCGACATTTCACAAAGCTTTATGGCTGAAGGTATTTTGCAGAAAATGAAGCAGATAAACATATAAAGGAGGAAATTCGCATTAATTCCCTAAGTATTATCACTGTCTGCTGATCAGCACGTGGCATGGTGTTTTAATGGTGAAAAATGATGATGCCTCTTAGATTAACCGTATTTGCACGTTTTGCGTAGATTTTCTCCACAATTTCTAAGACAAGTCAAATTTTAGGATGTAATTTAACACCGCGAACAATCTCATCGATAAGTGTTCACGATTGAATGGCTAAAATGGAGCACTTGTTTCTGGATTTTTCATCAATGCGTTCAGATGTCGTCATCTGTCAGTTGTGCTTTCCTAAGCAGGTAAATTTTGTTTTTATCATTTACAAATTTCCACTGTAAGGTTAATCTGTTCCAATGATTAACCTGATATTTGTTAAACACTAACAAACGGAGTCGCAATCGAACGAAGTCACCTGAAGCAAGAAGAAAAAAATTATAACACCTACAAGTCTTGTGGCGTTTGAAGAATTGAGTGCACAAATAGCGCGAAAGGCGCAATTCTCACAGCCAAATCAAATTCCTCCGATCGATTAAAGGCTCTTGATTACTGGTGTCATGCTCAACCAATAAGAGTGCAGAATAACGTAATAGGAGCCACTGAGGTTAGTATACTCAACACCGGCTTTACAGGCAAATGGAAGCGTGTAGGTGCTATCCTAAACCAATTAACGCCTCTTAATATACACTTGATAAGCCAGAAAGTTAAAGCAACTGAGATGATTTATTGAGGACCACTGCTCTGCAGGTGATCAAATTCAAAGTGTCGCCCAGTGAGGGATGGAAATTAAAACAACTAGGTAAACAGGCTTAACATGGTAAAGGCTGCAGTGGTTATATTTGTTTTGTAAGAGCAACCTTAATTAGGGAAGATCACTGTGTTGTCATAAATGACAATATTTTTATTCCATTTCGCATTCAGGAGAATTATTTACAATAAGCAGGCTGTGTAGATAAAATCTTTTGCAACCATGCACGTTTGAACATTTGGCTGCCATTCAACGTAGGGTAGAAAGTAAAATGCATTCGCAAAGATTGTTAATCCACTTCGCCTGACAATTATCGGCTAGATTAGGAACCTTTTTTGTTATAAAATTGATTAACTGTGTAATCTTTTTGCAAACCTTTTGGGGAAGAAGAGCACGTTTTCTGCTAGTGAATTTCATTAGTTGGAGGCAGTTACGTTAGTTTAGCATAAACCCATTTTAAATACAGCCTTTGCCGATAATCCATGAAAAGGGATTTTTAAACTAAAATTACTTGGAGTCGATGTACTTGATGCTGATAACAAGCAGTGCATGATAGGTATTACTTGTCACATTATTAAAGTGCGTAGCACTGGACTAAATAAGGTTAATATATGGAAGTCAAATTTAGTTTTTAACAGAGTTAATTTGAAAGCAAGCTCTTTCCTCCAAAAATGGCCATTAGACCTTTAAAACTTCTAATTAGTCGATGGTATTGACCTTCTAAAAGCGATTACAACACAGTCCAAATTAGGATTTACCTTAGCTCGAAAGCGTGAAAAGTAGGTCAGCGGAAGGCCTTTCACTCTTGCATGCTTGTGAATTTGACGACCGAACCTGAGGTGGCGTTTTGCACTCAGTCGTGAAGCATGCAGGTGACTTTGTGCCCAATTTAGTTAAAACCAGTCGGAAAACAGAGCAACTTGCACACAAAATACCAAAGGGCATGTAGCATTAGAATAGTTGCCCCGTTTAGGTTGGACGTTAAGTAAGGTGAACGATTCATACACATCATGGCAGCCTCAAAATCACCAAGTTAGCTGATTTGGTAAAATAGTTTGTTTAAATCTTGGGGTGCTTTGTGGTTAGGCGTTTTAACTGACGAGAAATTTCATTTTGAGATTATCAGTGAATTTTGGACCAAGTTGTGAACTTACTAAGAAACTGCATTCAAACTATCAGTATGTTTGTGGAAAAGTATACTAGAACTCATGTTTTCTTCTTACGGTGGACTAGTATATAACAGACATTTCTTGCTTCGTGAAACTTTTTTCGCTTGAGAAGTTAGCAAATTTGGCAAAAAATAGAGCCTGAAGGAAAACTAGTTGTGTTGATGGTGTAGATTTTATGCAAACACGCACACACGTGTCTCCTTCGTGCATTCTTAATGACTTGTAAGGGCTTGTGACAAAACAGCCACACGACAATTTTTCGTCCCGGTTTGAAACTAACTTAACTGTTTCATGATTTTCTTCGTATTGTTAGCCAACACAATTAAACAAACAATGTTGTTTCTAGTTGATGTGCAATAATAGTTGCTTTATAGGTGCGGTTTGAGAAAAGTGAGTTTCGAATCAGCGCACATTCTTACGTCGGAGTTTAGAGGAGCCGTATTTTAAGAAACGACGTTGTAACAGTAGTAAGTTATATTAAAACCATATACCACGGTGATGCTTAATGAACTAAATATTCATTTTTCTAAAATGGGTAATAAATCCAAGAACGCCACATTGACATATCGCAGGAAATTGTAAAACGAGGAAATCTAGGGTAGACATCTTGAAAAGTTGCTATCTTGCGTGACATTGGTCAAATGATTACACGAACTGACAAAACCTGAAAGGTGACGAAGGAGCAAGTGGACAGGCGTTGCGTCATTTAGAGATATATTAATTTTAGATGATCACTTTTAGATATCAAGAAAACGTTGGCATCAGTGTAATAATCTAAAAAACACCGTCATTTCATTTTGAATTTAGACAAAGGTGCTAGGCAAGGCAACGATTTGGAGGATTTAATGTTAACACAAATTAAAAACAGCATTTTTTGCCTGATCGGCAGACCACAAAGCAGCAGCCTAAATTGAGCAGAATGGCCACACAACAATGTAAATAAATGTAGTTTTAAGTAAGGTACCTTTAATGCAACATTAAGCCTGTTGCAAGTAAATAATTTAATGTTGTATGTGTTGGCTGGGAGGCATAGCGACCGCCCTACGGAATCAGAACGTAACAAAACGAAAAAAGACAGAAATTGATAATCATTGCGCAGACTTGAATATGGTTTGGTAGTTTAGATAAAGAAACAGTTGTGGAGTGTTTTTTCACTATGCGTTTAGTTATGATGGATGTTACCTATCATGCAAAATAAACAAGCAGATAAACCGTAAAAAATGCGCCACTGTTGTCCTGAAGAGAGGTCTTTAACCCAAGAAATAAATCAGAAGTCGAGATAGTCTAGTAGAATAGATAAACACAATTACAAACAGAACTTCAGATACAGAAAAACATGATAGAATGGAACATACAGGGTAAATCGATAATACTTATCGTGCTTTTAATTATTGAAATATGAGGAAAAACGCTCAAACTCGGAAGATTTTTTTCAAGGTGCGAGAAGTCATCTTTCAATATTAACGTAAAGGGCTCTCAACGAAAAATATAACCTCAACTATATCAAGGAGCAAATTGTGTGAATACAGTGATACCGCCTTAAATGTCTGCTCGGTACGCCACGAAAACCAAACGAACGTAAGATGGGTAATACCAGGTGTGCTTATACAAAATTAGTACATTACATATAGTAAAGGCAAGTGATTAATATTAAATGGCTAATGCTAGATGACGAATGATTTAATCGCATTTTAAAGAGTCATTTAAAAAGGCAGACATTAATTATATTACAAATTAATGTATATTTGGCGATCAACCGAATAACCAAGACAAATAATCCCGAGCACAAATTTTAGCCTTGTGCATTCGATTTAAAAGGGCACTGCCTAAGTGCATATTGCGCATAAATTGCATTTCATTTTTAGACTAGCTGATTAAAAATGTTCTCGAAGTTGCAAAAACATCGTCAGCACTTCAAGTGGCCCATTAGTACTCTTGCACCATTACTAAATCCTGCTGTCGTACCTTCCATAAAACTGGGAATCACAAGGTTGTGAGCAACGAAAAACATAAATTTATAGTCTAGTTGCCTAAACATGCAATATCTCTTTAAGTTCCAGTTAAAATTAGTATAGCAATTGCCCATTTTATGTGTACATGGACATAGAAATTAGATACGTCAAGGCCAATTGTAGCGATGCGCGACATCTGGTCTACGGGCATAAAGGGCCATCGACATCCGGCGTCATGCTGACTCGACAAAGGTTTTGCTACTTAGAAGCAATTTCTGATCTGAAATACGAGACAAAGAACAAAAAGACGCCACACTATCATAGCCGCAAGGAATACGAAAATTTATTGAAGACGTGAAATTTAATCACCTAAGTCATTTACGTAAACAGTTTTGCTATAATCCGACAATGGAACATGTAAGGCATCAATTTTGCACAAGGAAGCAAACTGACAATCGGAACGACAATCTTTAAAAATGCATGGGTTGAGCATTATTAGACATCAAAAAATCTTAAAAAACATTTGTTCTGTAGATTTACTAGTTTGCGCAAAAAAATGAGTTATGATATCGAATTTGGAAATAGTAGGATGAAGTATTAAAGAGCCTTTTGTTAGCGTATTCCACTAATGGGATTCTTTGGCGCAGGCGCCCACTTCAACAACCTAGTTTCACGTCATTCCGCGTTTTTTTTCAACAGGAATCAAGATCATATTCCTGTTAACTACTCTATAGATATTCATATACTGATTTCGGCTTTTAGAACGGATATTAACACAAGGTTTGTAGATAGATACAACTTAAAAATTCCATGTAGTTAGGTTTATTCACATCTGAGTTAGGAAACGACTAAAGTATTATGCCTTCAGTCAGTCCACTGAACGCCCACAATATGCAGAATCACGTTAAACATGCTCTTACTGACTTTATGAAGCTTGAGAAAATAGGAGAAGGTTTGTTTTTGTGAAGTAACATCTTTTTAGGCACCTACGGGGTTGTGTACAAATGTCGTAGTAGATTAACGAACCGGGATATGGCCCTTAAGAAGATTCGACTCGAAAATGGGGACGAAGGTGTGCCGTCAACAGCAATCCGTGAGGTTGCTCTCCTTAAAGAGCTTCAGCACCCCAATATTGTCAGGTGATGGATATTTACGCAACTAATGTTTCCTAGTTTGGAG